AGAACATCGTGTAACTCACATAATCATAAGTAAGAAGGAATGAGATAATATACATGTGACGTCATCCTTCTGTTACATCCAGTAACAAATACGGTTCATCCATGCCAAATGGGAGCAATTAATTTAATGGTTTCTTAGAAACAAACGTGTGTAACGGTCTGAACATCCTGTTGCTGCCAAATGCCACACAGTTTCTATATATTTCTGTAATAAATAGTCGCATGTACTTCTATAACACCAATGTTAATTAAAGTACCTCAGAAGACCCAGCAAATGCTGCTGAAAGTCTGCACTATAGTGTAGCAATCAAATGAATGTTTTTATGTATATAATTTGTAATTTAATGAGTTAGGCCTAAAAGAGATGGAATATAAGTTCATAACCAAAATATAAAAATGATTTTAGAAAGATCTTGAGTATGTATTAATGTTATTTTGTATTGTAACTTTCTTACGACATCTATATTATCATTATCATTTAAATCAGTATGTTACTAATCAAGTTTTGAATGTATGGGGTGATTTTTTTCTTTTGCCCCTTGATACCACCATTCTCAGATTTTTATAGTAAATCTCAAACGAACAAACAAAAACGATTTTGTTATGTCTTGGAAACAGTTCAAATGAGCTTCATTAGTCACTCCCGAACAATATCATGTAAAGTTTGTTACATTTCAAACGATTTTTTTCAATAATACTCTGTATATATCCTTTAACCTATTTCTGTCTTAATTGAAATGTGCTTAACATTTTTGTATATGATTTTGAAATACAAAATAATCTTAAAATCATAATACATAATAAACACCTTCATAGTTTACTCAGTTCGCTGTAATAAAACACGATTTAATCCTAAATTTGCGGAAACAAATACTAAATATAATTATGTAATAACTATAACAGCATTACTTTCAAACAGGGATTTCTTTCTCGTAAGGCTCGGCATGGGCAGATGGTTAGGGCGCTCGATTCGCAATCTGAGGGTCGCTGGTTGAAATCCCCTGTCCCGCCAAACATGCTCGTCCTTTCAGCCGTGGGGACGTTATAATGTTACGGTTAATCCCACTATTCGTTGGTAAAAGCGTAGCCCAAAAGTTGGCAGTGGGTGGTGATGACTAGCTGCTTTTCCTCTAGTCTTTCATAGCTAAATTAGGGACGGCTAGCAAAGATAGCCATCGTATAGCTTTGCGCGAAATTCAAAACAAACAAACTTTCTCGTAAATGAACTTTAATAAACAATTCTGATCATGATTTAACGAAAATATACGGAAGATAAAAATTTGACACAATCCTGTAAATTTTCTTTAATATCAACAGTGATCATTAAATTTATTTTTAACAAAAAGTAAAGCAAGAAGCTAGAGAAAATTAAGTACTGCCTATGGATCGTAATTACACCACTTCTGTTAGTGAAACCGAAAATATACGGCTTTATCGCCTTATTGGTGTCCCCAATCCAGGGAAGGGAGTGTCGTATCAGGGGAGTATGTACTACGTTACCAACAGTAATTCAAACTCTTGAAAGTTTATTATTTAAATTAAGAAAAATATACGTATACATTTCTGTTTTTTATTACGTAATCAAATGACGTAACTGTAAGTCAGCATGATTCTTGCTGTATATACTTTTCCAGTAATACCTAAGATTCCACAGCAGACAATTGGACGAGCATATATACTGTAAAACTGTAGACAGTGGTGCACTATTGGCAGTACAGAGGAGGTAATAATTTTTATTATAAACTTGCAGATGGCGAAGTTAAAAAGAATTAGCAGTAAAATCATTTTAGATCAGGTAAAATAAGTTTCAAAATAAACTTACGAGGTTCAAAACAAAAGAAAAAATTATAACCTAGTTTAAAATGCGATTTTAAATATTGCTCATAAAACTAATACTCACGGTGGCTCAGGGCTTACAACTCAAAAAATCGGTTTTGGATACCCGAGCTGGACAAAATACAGAGTCCTTTGTATAGCTTTGCGCTTAACAAAAATATAACTTCAAGGTATTCGTATGAACATGAAGGAATGCTATTTCATTGAATATAACTGTTTCTGTGAAGCTTTATGAAATAGAAAAAAACAATGTTAACTTTTTTTTTGGAGGGGGAGTATTGATAAACAGAAAAGTTTATAAATTCCCTATTTTATTTACTTTTTGGGGATAATCAAAGGTGAAGAGGTTAAATTTTAGATAGTAGGGCTTATTTTTTGCATTTTATGTTAAGAAAAACATCGATGTAAACTACTTCGTTTTACAAGTTAAAATCCGAGGTTCGATTCCCCGCGATGGACAGAGCACAGAGAGCTCATTGTGTACCTTTCGGCGAAAATCAAACGAACAAACAAAACTTAACTTAAATACGTCTTGGAAACAATTCAAATTATTCACTCCTAAACTATATCATATAAATTTTCATACATTTCAAACGATGTTTTTCAAGAACACTCTGTATACATTCTTTGAACTATTTATGTCATGATTATTAAAATGTGCTTAAAATTGAAATATAAAATAATCTTATAATCATAATACATAATAAACACTTTCATAGTTTTTTTCTTTACTGGTAAATATAAGTAACTAATCATTAGGCCATTTTTACCCTATTTCAATATTACCGATCTAGAATAAATAGCGTATGGCCTTGGCACCTCATAATGCTTAAATTCAGAGCTCGATACCTACAGTGGATGCTTCACAGATAATGTATTTTGTATTTTTATGCTTAACAGTTAAAAAAACATCTTTGACTTCAATACATAATGAATAACAATTAAACTGCACTAAAATTTCATAAGCAGATGTAGTATGCAGAAAATTACAAAACCGAGATATCACGAAATGAAATACAATAACTAGTAACGTAACCTCATGTGCTGACTATTTCACGATTACATCTACCTCAAGAAGTTGTATCTTGTTATTTCTTAGTTCTATTTTTTGTTGTTGTTGTTTATTTTGACTTTGAATGTCTCGCGGTACAGTAAAACATAAAATTAGTTTTATTAATGACAATCAAAATCAAACAAACTAATTATTTGTGCATTGTTAGATTTAGGTCGAAACTCATATCGAAATAGCCTGGGATTAGAAAAAGTTGAGCTTTGGAAAACTGTTTATGTAAACGCACTTTTCGCCGTAACCATTAGGACTATTTACTAACACAAGACGTAACCCTAAAATAACTGAACACTAAAAGAACGTTAAAGCTGTGAATGTTATTTAGAGATTAAACGATTTTTTTCTTCTGTTTTTAACTGTTCCTTTAACAACACTACTCAGCTTTATAGTGTATTTTATGGCATGTGCCAGGGGATTAGGGGAGCGTCCTTTTTAAACAGATGCTCTAAAACAAGAAAATTGTCATTTTTATCTAAACTAGCATTTTCATTCACTTCTATAAGATAAAAGACTGTTTAAGTTATATGTTTATATATTTTTCTTAGACTTAATCTTTTTTAGGAGACTACACAGAGTTTCAAATATAAATCTAAACATTGTCTTGATGTTATAATTTTTTATACATCTCTCAAAACCATTTATGATATGTTAAAGCTTTTCGAAGCAAAATACCATGCTAGATATGTATCCATTCCCTAAAACTTTCCCTGCGACATAAAAACAGCTAGAGACACTGATAGAGTAACCAGTGACACAATGCTACTGTCTCCAGTCTATAGTATACAAGTAAAGAAAAACTTTTCAAAACAAGGAAGTAAATGTAGGGATGGCTAAGATCAATCCTTCAAAAATACTGCAAACAAGATAGTAGGGATGGCACTTGCATCATCCCTACATAACAGCATATAATGTAAGGATGATGCAAATGCCATCCCTACTATCTTGTTTCAATTCCTTTTGAAGGACTAATATTAGCCATCCCTACACTTACTTCCTTTTTTGAAAAGTTTTTTCTTTATTTGTTTGCTTATTTTTTGTTTTTTTAATACAGTGCTTCGATATAGGAAGGTTGTAATTATAACCAAGTTTTAAATAAAATGAGGTTCCAACTGTAATATTTATCGTTTATCTATTATTAGCGGGTAATTCCTCTTTCACCATATTCTTAAACTTTTTGAAGGAACGCCAAATTTCTGTAAGAAAGCTAACTTCAAGGGGTAATGATAACATCGTTTACACTTGAATTATGATTTTTTAAAAATGACTACTAATTATTAATAATATCTAAAAAACAAAAACAAATACTCCGTTAGAAACTATGTCACCTCAGTATAATTGGTTGACACCATTGTTTTGTTTTTTGAGTTATCATGTAATAAAAAATGAAGCAGAGGAAAGGAGAACAAGAAATTCAAACTTTTTGCTATGATACTTACAGATATTCACAAAACTTATGACTCAGTCATTACATAGATATTGTAATAAAAGGAAACACTGTTTAGTATTGTAACGTTCTGATGACCTGTTGAGGAGATATTGAAAATACCACTTCGATGAACAATCCGGACCATTCCTACATAGGTAGTGTTACCGCCTGCCTGATTTGGTTCTTTTTTATGTGGAGCGATGCACTGTGGTTTTACGTTTGATAATTCTTCGAAAAGCTACAAACTAAAATGTTTCCTAGGATTGGAAACATACGAAGCGCGTTCTCTGCAGCAACGGGTCGTGAACCATGCACTCTCGGATTCACAGTCCGATAACACTAACCGCTAGGGTACATTCGGAAAGTGTACACTAACCTACAGTATTTTCATACAGGTAATATAGGTTCTTATTGTCTATAAAGTTAGGAAGTCGAGGAAATACGCCGGAAATTACAAATTTTTATCTTTTTGCCAAATAATTATCATCTTTTATTTCTTAATAGCCTCTCGGATTTTAATACGAAAATAGTTTAGTGAAAAGAAAAATATCATAGTAAAGCCACATCACAACTATAAATATTTCTTGAACGCACTAATATATTACAGGCTGTTGAGCACGCGCATATTGATGTTGTTCCTCGTGAAATTTTGAGCAGACGAAAACCGACACCCGCGATGGCTGGACGCGTCACGTGAAGGGTGTGAAGGAACAAAAGAGTTCGTATACAAGTAATAATCTCTAATTTATCAATTATTTTAGTTTTTTTGTTTTAAACAAACGGGAATCTATATATGACAACATCTTCCTGGGAATTCAACAAAGAGGTATGATACGAATTATTTGTACGATGTCTTTCTGTGCGATCTTTAGACTAGTTGTTAGTCAGTTCTTTTCTAATCTATAACCAACTAAAGAAATATCTCACTTTCAAGAAATTATAAACTGAAAAATTTAGTGTTTAATTTTCATTGAAAAAATATCCTGTATTCCAGTAAGTTAGTTACGACAGATTGAATATGCAAAATAAAATGTTGAGTCATTGACACGGTTAACAGCCTATAACAGTATAAGATCATACAGTTATTAATTAATAACTATTTTAAATGCTTATATGCTAATTACCATCTAGCCATCTACTTTTTTATATTACGTGCTAATTTGGTGCCATCTTCAGTGACGTCTTCAGAAGAACTATTATTTGAGTTGGTAGTGGACGAAATGAACGTATGTCTTCTTGATGAAAAAGCGTGCGTTATCCACTCGACTGGAGTCTTCTATATTAGAACTTGAATCAACTAAAGCCTATTTGAATGTTTTCAAGAGGACTCTCTAGGTTTTACCGACTTCCATGTTATTGCTAGCTTGATTGGGTGTTTTTCAGTTAGGTGGATGTAGAAGGCTTCGTCATTTTTTTTCTCGTGTGTGTGATTCATGTCCTATTATTTCAGTATTATTTTAATTCCCACAAGAAAACGTTTAGTGCTTAATTTCTATTACAAACAAAGGGTTACCAGATTCTTCTTCACGTTACTGAGATTAATACATGGCTAGAGAAGAATGACGTAGTTGATTGAAGCAAATATCAATTTACAAAGCAACCAAGGCATTTTTCAAAAAATTAATTTAACTTAAAAATATTTAAAACAAGTTTCGGATCTCAGATTCGGAGAAATAAAGCAGAAATTAAGCACTGAAAATGTTTAAGTCACGTTTTACACTACTGAGAAGGTTAGTCATAAAATTTCGTAGAAACCTAACTTCACGAGTAAACCTTGCCTTTTTACTGATAAATGTAGAGTAAAAATAATTATCATATTAATAATATCCAAAATTATTGCAAAAAATGCAGTAGCTGCTTCTGAAACTCACAACAATCAAGGATATGAAATCAGTTAAATTGCCATAAATGGTATTAAAAACCAGAGATGTTGAAAATCCGTTAAACTGGCATAATTTGATATCTAAAAAATGGGATTTTAAAGCTTACTTATATAGACCGTCGCAACAAAACTAACTTATAAGTTAATAAATCATTTTTGTATAATGAACTGACTCGAAGTAAATGGTGTCTTAAATCAATATACAAGAAACTGAAACCTATAATGATTAGAGCGCATTTAATCATCAGCTGAACATAGTCATTGCTAAAAGTATTTTCAGGCATAATTCTAATAATATCTTACGAAATTCAGTCAACTTAGAACATTTAGAACTAACCCCTAAAGTACCGTTCCCCCTCCCTAAAGCTAACAACACAAAGCAACCTTCATAAACGTTAAAACTGGTAATGACAATAATATTTAAAATCATTTTAAGCAGTATTTCTAATTAAATTAATTAATATAATTTTGAGTATTTCATTTAATTACGGGCATCTAACAAATGGGGATGCGGAAAACTATCTTAGTAGACTAGCTGGGATTTCTGGAATAGAAATATCAAAGGGAATTTTTGGGTAAGAGCTAGTAACATGTCTTTTGAACCTAATTTGGATCCGCTGAATCTGAAAATTCTTGTCACCAAACTCATCTTGGAGTGTTTAGAATTTCTCATTTGTGAAAGAAAAAAAAAAACACCAACAAGAAAACGAAAATACTGTGCCATCTTCGGTACTTCAGTATATTTTAGACACACTAATTCACGAAATAGGCCCGGCATGGCCAGATGGTTAGGGCGCTTGACTCGTAATCTGAGGGTCGCGGGTTCGAATCCCCGTCACACCAAACATGCCAGCCTTTGCCTGGTCCCAAGTCCAGGATGAGAAAGGGGAGGGTTGGGCGCGGGGCTAGCAACTCCACCCCGTAAAAACCAACCTGCTACATGTAACTGCAACAACACCTTCCGTTGGCGAGGTGTTGTTGCGGCCCTATGCTCCACTGGGAATTTACAGGAATAAAAAATAATAATAATTAAAATTCACGAAATAAAGTGAAATTATTATATTAGTTTCGTATGTACTTGTAGAGTGTGTATTCTCTTAGCATGTATATACAACATTATTACCACAACACCCCTTATAGGAATTTTACCAAAACATATCAGTTAAGTGGTATAAAAATTACTATTTGACGGCCATTTTGTTTCCTGTAATTGAGCTTTAGAAGCAAACATTTTCGAACTTATCAGGTCCACATTATTCCAAAAGACCTTTTTTGTTTGTTTGTTTGAATTTATGCACAGAGCTACACAATGGGGTTTCTGTGCTCTGCCCACCACGGGTATCGAAACCCGGTTTCTAGCGTTGTAAGTCCGCAGACATACCGCTGTGTCACTGGGGGGCTCCAAAAGAACTGTTCTTAGTTTTAACCCTAAAATGTCTCCTGGTTTTTATCCAGGCTCCAACAAATAGGAATGTATAAATTCCACTTACTTAGTATGACTGATATCCCACAAACAGGGGTCTAGAAAACCCATTAAGTTAGTATGATTGACAAGTAGAAAATTAGAGATGTAAAAAGAAAAAAAACACCCCAGGGATGATGTTCCCAGTTCATTGTGAACAAAGATGTCGTCGAATAAGTTTGCACTATATGTCTATATGACGAAATTTATGAGTGGAGGTGGAAATGTCTTCTACTGGAAGGTTCAGATAGTTTCTGGAATATCAACAGGCCTGGGAGGTTCATGTCGCATGTGAAATAGCTACTAAATTATATAACTAGTAAAAGACAGTGGTTTCGAAACAGTGGGTCGCGAACCACTGTTCACAAGACGCGTCACGGTGTGTCGCAGAACAAGGCCCAGTAAAACACAAACATATATTAGTTTTAAAAATATTTATAATATAATGCTTCCAAAATGCTTTTGAACAAACAACTACTAAAGCACAAAACATAAGAACACTACTAGAGTTTACTGAAATATATTAGAACAGTAACTTTTCTATTTTCAATGGAATAGAGGTCCCAGAAAATTGTTTTGTTACTCAGGTGAGTCGTAAGTTGGGATAGTTTGAAACCTTGGCATAAGATGTATCTTTAGCCGGATATATTCAGATAATTTTTCTCAAGCTCTCTGCAGTTTCTGCATTTAGTTAATCACGTCAGTGCTAATCGGATGTCAGAAGGTCGTAAACATGTGTTAACCCTTTTATACAGTTAAAGTTACATTCCGTAACTTAAGTCTCAAGCTAGGATGTACGCAGAAACAAGTATAGACTGGCTCGAAATGGTTTAGAATTGTATGTTAGACAACTGATTGAAATATGCAACCAAACTAAGTCTTCAGTCTGAACATAAAAGTTGGATAGTTCAGTTAGTCTCTCCCTTATTTTGTTGGCTCTCTTGATTTTAATTATCTTTTTTTTTTCTGGTTTAGCTGTCGATCACAGCAAACAAGCAGTGGTCATACAAATTAGAAACCCAGCCAGTTTGGTAACATAACGCTGTGGTGTGGATAAATAATTTGATGTTTCTAAGTTTACTTATTTTCCATTGTTGTCCATATTTGGTTCATTCTTTACTTAACAATCTTGAGCCCGTGTTTTAAGGATACTTCAATTTTTTCAGTTGGTTTGTGGTGGTGTTAGATTTTAAACTCACAACACGTTTAACAGGTTACATTGGTTTCTGGATATAGAACATAAAAGCCTAATTTCTTTATTGACTTGGCAAGTTCAATTAGTTTCTGGAGGTGTGAATTTATTGTAAGTCTAGTATATTTATATAGTCTATGGTGAGAGGGAATGGAACTTTGATTTTTCAAAGATCTTACATTTTTAGCTGGTTTCTGAAGGTATGAGAACATAACCTATTGATGGGTCTGCCAGATTCAGTTAGCTTCTGGAGGCTTGGGAATATAAGCTATTGATGGGACAAGCAGGTTCAGTTAGTTTCTAGAGGTATGAAAACATAAGCTATTGATATGTATGACAGGCTCAGTTAGTTTATTCAGAAACAGGAACTAACGTTTTGTCAGGTCTAATAGATTAGTGTAATTTCTGAACGTGTAGAAGCTTAACTTCTTAGCCGATTTAATTTGCAGGTTCAGATGTTTTTGGAAATGTGGAAACATAAGTGTATTTTAGGTATGGTAGATTCAGTTGATTTCTATTGGCAGGTTCGTTTTTAAGATGTGGTAGTTTTGGCTCTCCACGGATCTGTGTGGCTTAATTGTTTTCTAAACGTGTGGGAGTTTTTAACAGATCTGTCAGTTTCAAATAGTTTCTGAAGACATGAAACCTACTCATGGGCCTGACAGATTCATTTGGTTTGTTTGTCGTATGGCGGTTAAATTATTTTTAGTCTCAATTCGTTCGTTTAGTTTTCTGCGATATGGAAGCTGAATTCTTGACAGTATAAATAGGTTCTGCTAGTTTCTGTGGGTTTAAGAATTTAGTTTATCCAAAGATTTGGAAAATTCATTTGTTTTCTGGGGCATGTGAACTTAAATGGTCGAAGGGCTTATTAGATCAGTTAGTTTGCTTACGTTCTCTCATTCATGTATAGAAAATGTTCAGTCTATTTCGCTATTGGTTTTTCTTTATTAAGCCCCCCAGTGGCACAGCGGTATGTCTGCGGACTTACAACGCTGGAATCTGGGTTTCGATACCCGTGGTGGGCAGAGCACAGATAGCCCTTTGTGTAGTTTTATGTTTAATTACACACAAACAAACAATTCTTTAGTAAATGATAGTTTTTCGAGTGTGTGTATACATGGGCGTCGGCAAGGGGGCACTTGCCCCCCTTGGAAAATGAGAAACATAATTATTTCTTTATTTATTTATTCAGCATATGTATATGATTTTTTTTATTCACTTCACAATCTCACATAACTTTTTCCCCCTCCAATGAAAACTTTCTGTGGACGCCCATGTGTGTGTATA